GAAGATCTTTTGGACAAGGTGAAGAGCTTATTTGGTGAGCCCAGTGACAATAATGAGGTTCTCAAAAATGAGGTCCGGGACAAGCTAGCAAGCTACCACACTAAAGTAGATGATGCTCGAGATCTGCTAAGAGAAGCTAGACGTAAAATTTGGGAGGCTGATCGTTTATCTGTGGTCAACAAAAAAAATATGACTGTGGTAGAGGTGAGTGCCAACAAGTTGTATCCATGATTACTTGGAGTCTGATCAAAGTTGGAAATTTTGCATGATTAAATCTTGAAAAAAAAATATAAGAAAAACAAAAATATTACTAAAATTTAACTATATCTGATGTAATTAAAAGGAAATGTACTCCTCAGAATGAAGGAATGTATTGACTTTTAAAAGTAGAATTACTCCACAGCTTTACTAAAATAATATACTCTGCTTTTAAACACTGAGTGGAGGGTGCATTGGATTTATTATTCTGGGGAAAATTAAATTCATCTCAGTATAAATAGTCATGTAAAATTCAAATCCTGCCCTCAAGATTTAAATAGGAGTTCAGTTAAAATCTTTGCTGTCATATATTTGCTCATAGAAAACTTATATTTTCATCTTCCTCCACAACCCCTGGGAAGAAGACTGAAGGGGAGGTATGTGGATATTACAGACTAATAAATCAAACTCTATCCTCTGTAGTTTGCAGCTGTTATAAATGATCTCCCTCATAGCAGAAGGGTCTGCTTGTGATTTAATTTAAATTGCAGAGACTTAAAGAGCATCTTATACTGTACATTAACAAGCATTTAACCAAGACATAAAGAGCAAAGTCAACCTAGTGAAGATAATTGTTTCAACTCTTTGTATCTCAGTGAGCTTTTGCCTCATGCACAGTGATGAGGTTAGAGTTCCGAGACCTCAGTTCTCAGCAGAGATTTGAGGGCTTGATTGAATTAAGGAAATACAGTGGTGTAAAGAATTTAGGTGATCTCTGTTCTGTGCATTTTCTTCCCAAATGTGGATGGATAAATGTCAGAGAAATTACCTGCTTTCTCAGTTTTTAAAATATTCTCTGCATCACAAATATCAGAGTGCCTGCATGCATGCTTTCCAGCAGTCCTGCCTACCTAGTTGTTTTGAGGGTTTTTTTGCTTTATTTTGACCCTATTTTGACCAAGAAGCTGTGAGAGCACTGTGAACGCTAGAATGCCATGGTCTCCTGTCAAACTAATCTGAATGGATCTTGCACAGGAAATTGTCAGTTTCTTGTTCAGAAATCCATTCTTACTACAAAAAACATGCAGTATTTTTACTAATTAGAAAACCAAGAATACTAAGTTTGCTCCAAACCATCATCTTTTATTTTATATTCAGTAGTTAGTGAAACACCAGTGGAAATAAACAGGAAAGCAGCAAAATGTTTTGATAAATTTTGCCTTGATAGCCAGAGAAGGTAATTGTCAAAATGAGGAACTTGCACATCTCCATAAAGATTAGGATGTCTAACTTCTTTCTCATTCATTTTGCTGTAGTGCTACAGTGAGTTGCCTCTGTTAGAGAGCAACAAAAAACCTACCATGTAGGAGGTGGATACAGAGCTGGGGACAGGAGGACAAAGGAAAAATACATTATATGTGCTTTATTGTTGTCACTGTCTTTGCTCTGAAAGCTCAGAGAATGCCGGAAGTGGTATTGTGGCATGGTGACAAAATGTAGTCTTCTATTGGGATGCTAGTATTTGAACTGGCATCCAATTCTGGTAAATAACTCATCTTTCTGTTTGTGTGCACACACTCTATAGAAGAAAAAGCAAGCTGTAGAAGATGGCAGACAAGACGTTGAAAAGAGCCTGCAGGAAGGGAATGATGTCCTTAATGAAGCCAGCAAACTTGCAAATGAAATCAGCTTAGCTATAGAGGTGAGTGTTTTATTATCCTTATCTAAGAATTAGTACAACAAAGCATCATTATGGAAGCAAAATAGATAATTAAAGTAACACCTGATTTTTCTTTTACTTTATAAATGTTAGAATATTTGATTTGGAAGAAATCATTTTTCCATTGCTGTATGGCTGAAAAGCTAATCTAGTATGTAAAAATGATTAACTCTGAGGTTCAAGTGATTCATTGGATTACATAAAGAGCCAGCTCATGATTTTTCATGGACTCTGCCTTCTTTTATAAATACGGTCTTCTGATCGTGGTACTGACTTTATCTTTAATATTGCAGATACAGCAGACCCATTCACAAACTGCAACTACTAGGTGTAGATTTATCTGCACAAAAACGATACGTGCATATCAGAAGGAAATTTCAGAAGTAATCTGTTGCCTGTGGCAGCAGTTTAAAGTCTTGATAGGTCAGGGAGAGAAGAGGATTGCACTATCATTTTTCATAATCTGGAGATGGACTTTTTACAGGGGCATGTAGTGACAAGACAAGAGAGGATGGCTTGAAACTGAAAGAGGATAGATTTAAATTAGATATTAGGAAAAAATTCTTCAATATGAGGGTGGCGAGGCACTGGCACAGGTTGCCTGGAGTTGCAGTTGCCTCATCCCTGGAGTTGTTCAAGGCCAGGATGGGTGGGGCTTTGAGCAACTTGGTGTAGTTGCAAGGGGGTGGGAGCTAGATGATCCTGAAGCTCCCTTCCAACCCAAATCATTCTATGATTCTATGATAATGTTTTTGAAAATTGTACCTTAAAGGTTTTACTGATCAGTACCTTGGCTACAGCAAAAAAAAAAAAAAAAAAAAAAAAATCTTGAAATATCATTGGTTCTGGAAATACTTCCAGCTTGCATTAAAGATTGTTATAATGAATGGGAAAAATGCCTTGTGGAGAACTGTGAACGGAAACACTTTGGGACAGCTTACTGGAACGGGAAAGGCGGTTCTTCCAAAAAGTATAGTTCTTAGTAAGATACTAAGGAAAAATACAGTGAGGTCACTCAAACTGTCCTGAAACGTGAAAATTCTTTCATTGGTTAGTTATTATTGTGGAGCACACTGACAGTTTAGTATAACTATGTATGCATCCACATTTAGGAAAGAAATTTAAATTAGAGTTTATAAGCTTTTAAACTGTGCAGTTCCTTAATTGTAAAATAAAATATCCTGCTATGCTCAAGAGAGGCAAGTAACTCTTGGAATACTGTTTTGTCTCCCCTCTGCTCTCCAGTCCAACCATTTCTTTATTCTTTCCATATTAGTTCCCTGAAGTCTTACTGCATGGGTAAGTTATAAGATAATACCTCAAAAGGAAATAAAAAATAATGAATACATATATATATGTATATATAAGGGGCTACAGAGTGCTTGCATTCAGCTGATTAAAGGCCTTTCTTTTGCCATTTGCAGTATGTAGAAGGCGTTGCAGATAAGATACAGTCAATGTCTGATCAGCTGAATGATAAAATAAATGATTTATCACAAGAAATTCAAGATAGGATGCTTCCAGAAAAGGTGTTGCAAGCTGAGAACCATGCAGCCCAGCTGAATGAATCATCTGCAATACTGGATGGGTAAGGCAGCTGTCCATAAGTAATAATAAAATCATGAAGCAGGTTTGTTAAATTGCTCGACAAAAACTGAAGGGTGTTTTTAGACTTTGACATCTGTCACTGGGACTATACAAATAACCAGTGTTCTATACAAGTATACAACTATACAGTTGGTTAATTTGTGTATGTATCTCTTGTAAACTGTTTCATATATCTTGTGATGCTTACAGGCTGCATAAACTGCAAACAGTGCCCTCAGATGCACTCATAACACAGTTTAACTTCACATATGCTTACTGCTCTGTTGATATGAATGAAATTGAGCTTCGTCTTACACAACCCAATAAATGTTTTCATAAACATTTGTTAAAAACAAGCATTATTTTTATTCTTAAGATGACCAGTTAGTAAAACAGCCTTACCATGGTGCTAATTTTTTTTACTGTCAGAAATCCCCCATAGTGACAGACCATAACCCCTCTAGTGATTTCAAACACTCTCCCAAAATGAATAGGTGTCATGAGCTAAAATGCTTAAATCTAAGTACAGAAACTTCAGTTTCTGTTTACCACTATCATATTCCTAAATACAAGTGAGAATTGCAAGGCCCTTGGTTTATATGACCACAGAAATGGTCTTTATATGACTTTCAGAAATAATGATGTTTTTCAATTCATCATGAATATAGTTTCCTGGAAAGAATAGAAGAAAAGAAGGGTTTGGGTTTGTTGGGGCTTGGGGGTGTCTTTTGTTTTATTGAGTTTTTTGCATTTAAGAAAGCAAGCCTTAAATAGTAAGTATTTACAACAACAGTAATACTCAGAAATAGATCATGGATGTTCTGCCTTTTGGAAGCTGTCCCCAGCATAGCTTCAGAGGTTTATGTTCTCAAAACTACAACATGAATTAAAAAAATGGAGAATTTTTTTTTTTTTTTTTAACATCAATGATATGCTCTTTTTTTGCTGCTTACATCTCTTAGATCTACCTGAAGACTTCAGTATCCCAAAAACTTGTGGGCAGATGCTTAACACACTTTTTTTCTTGCCAGAATCTGTAATTTTGAGGAAAAGGCACAGAATTATCTCTGATAAAGTGTCTGATACTTGCAAAATTACTGGCTTCATATACAGTGTAGTCATACTATTATAGCTATTCAGTCTACTTTCTGTTTTGAGAAGTATGTAAAATAATGATAGCCGTGATTTCCTGAGTAAAAAGGATTTGAAAGGCATTCTATAAAACCGTAACTTTTGTAAATGGTATTTGCAGGGTCTGATTAGAACATGTCAGCTTTGTGGTGCACCTCTGGCCTAAAATACGTGACTTGTGTCACATCTAACCGCAATCCTGAGTTTGGATATAAATACCCAAATACATGGAAAGTTGGCATGGAGGAACTAAGAAGCAGAGAAAATGTAGACAAAAACCAATATTTTGCCTCCTTAATGAAATTTTGGCAAGAAATATTTTGAGATAGAGGTTTTTAACTACGCTAAATAGACTCTTATGAGTGCCTGCAGATGCTTCTTTCTTAATGCAAATTGACAACCTGGCCTTAAAGACCTTAGGATAGTGTTTAAAGTCTCATTCACTGTGGTATAACAGTACTGTGTATACATCTATTTGATCCAGACATCAGCCTTAATTTCTTAAGATATACAATAAAAAATGCAAAAGCAAGGTCATTAAAAATATATCTAAAAACAAATTGTTCAAAATCAAGATTTCTAATGCAGTCAGATAGATACATAACTTCAAAAGACAAAGAAATTCCAAGGTCTGATGTAATCCTCCATCAGGATAAAGTTAACTTCATTCACTGACATCAGTCATACTTCACAGGAATATGCAGTCTCTATCTGTTGTAGGAATTCAAAAAGTAATCTATCTTCACAACTGGCACTTGGGTGTCTTTCAGTTAATACTAAATTTGCTGAAAAATAGAATTTCATCTTACAGGAGAAATTGTGGGAGAGTTCTTTCTCTCCAACCACCCCCTTAGGCTTCAAATAGTATACTGACTGATAGTGAGGACATTCTCTGAAGACTGAGAATATGGAACAGTTCATGAATTTAACGTAGGAAAAATTATTTTTCCTGTAAACAGGATGGTATTAGTGTAGGCTTCTCCCTTATGGTTAATCACCTGCTCATGAGTAAACATTACTGATATTTGGCAAATTTAGTTTGGTTCCCTCCTAGCCAGGATGTATATAAACCATATTTGTAAGTAATACTTGTGCTACTAGTTAGATAACTACTCTGGGCTGTGCATTTCTCAAACAGAGCATCACAAAAACTTACTGTAGCCTAGTGAGCTCCATCTGTACTTGAGAAAGAAGCTATGCTTTTCCAGGAGTGTCACAGAGGCAGCTCAGTCATGCTGTTTCTGCAGCAGCCTAAAGGGAATCCCTCTCCCTCTATTAACTACACATGGAGTCCGGGGAGTATGCCTTCCATCCCCTTTGTCTTTCCTGTTGTGTTTTGTAGAAATCATTAAATACTCATTGAAGCAAGGATTAGAGCCCAGCTGTCCCAGTTCCTCAGAAAACAGATTAATTACCAGGTTAGAGAATGAATTTCTCTTTCTTCCACACACATTGTCTCAATGACTAAATATTTTATACAAGCTGGAGCAGGTCCAGC